TCACTATCTCTAATTCTACTTCTTCCATGTTCTCTGACTCACTCCAACCAACTCTTGGCATGCTCTGCATTACCATTGGTCTCAATGATTCTAACATCCAATATTAGGCCTAATGTCAATTCTCAGTCCTTACATTACTTGAAATAGTTGACCACTCCTTCCTCTCCCCCCCTCCCCCCAGTTGGTTTCTAGGCCATTACACTCTCATTATTTATTTCGGCCCCAGTGGCTCCTTTCTCTGGCTCCTTTATTTATCCCTCCTCTTTTCCCCAACTTCCTCAATAATAGAGTTCCCAGGGCTTCATCCTGGTCTACCTTCTTTCTCTCTCTCTGTTCTCACTCTATAACCAACATCATGGTTTCATATACATTCCATGTGATGTTGTCTTCTTTATTGACTTCTTCCACCAACTCTCTCCCCATGAACTGCAGGCCCATATAAGCTAACTGACTACCAGACACCTTCTCTTAGCTGTCTAGTAGACACCATAAACCTTTTCTGTCCAAAAATGAACTTATTTTTACCCAGAAACCTTCTCTTCTCTTAATCTGTATCTCAGTAAATGGCAACTTCATTTCCCAGTTGCTTAGGCCAAAAACATGGCATCATTATTGACTCCTCTCTTTCTCTCACACTTTATGCCTAATATAAAATTTATTGTGAAGCTATGAAGCTTAAGCACCAGAGCTCCTCACTTGCAGCAGCTTTTTACAAAGCTTTAACAGTGAGATAATGTAGCATATGATTTTTTTTTAATTTTGCAAAAATAAAAATATTTTAATTTCAACCAACCAATATAGCTCTCTTTTCACTCAAGCTTTCCCTCTGTCACTTTCCCCTTTGTTGTGGAGTTGCATTGGGTCACAATGGACATTTTGGGGAAAGTTGAACTAGGTTTATATTTATTTTGGGTGTGATCAGATATATTTACATGGCTTTCAGTCATTTCTATGTCATTGCTAACCATCCCGGCATTAAATATATTTTATTGATTTTACACATAGAGGAATTGAGAGGGATAGAGAGTTAGAAACATCGACGAGAGAGAATCATCGATCAGCTGTTTCTTGCACCCCACCCCACTGGGGATGTGCCTGCAACCAAGGTACATGCCCTTGACCAGAATCGAACCCGGGACCTTTCAGTCCGCAGGTCGACGCTCTATCCACTGAGCCAAACTGGTTTGGCCCATCCTGGCATTAAAAAAAAGTGTTTCAAGAACACTTTTCTTCATGCTATGCTAAGGGTGTAGGGCCAGAGACCATATCTTGAAACTAATGCATCCCATAGTACCCAGCATTGGAAATATGTGAAGTTGAAGAGAAACAAGATTTGGAATGTATGAGGCCAGACACTAACCTATGGAAAATTCTTCCATTCACTGGACATGTAAAACTATATAGGATTTTTATGTGATTATATAATTCAGTTCTGCCTATTTAGAATAGGTATTTTCTTCTGTCACCAAAATACTAAAAAATGCAACATAAACAATTGTAAATATACCATCCATATTTTACTATGTTAAGAAAACAGCATAAGATCTATAGTCTTTTTAAAAGATTATATATTTTTTCATTTCAGAGAGGACGGGAGAGGGAGAGATAGAAACATCAATCATAAGAGAGAATCATTGATAGGCTGCTTCTTGCACACCCCCACTCAAGCCCAAAAGGTGGGCATGTGCCCTTGACCAGAATTGAACCCATGACCCTTCAATCCTCAGGCTGGCATTCTATCCAGTGAGCCAAACCAGCCAGGCAAAATCTATACCCTTAACAAAATTTTAAGTGTAAAATCTGTTATTGTTGACTATAGGCACTATAATGTAGAGCAGATATCTAGAACTTATCCAATTTGCATAACTGAAATTTTAAATCCATTGAATAGTAACTTCTCATTACCTCCTTTCCCCCCTTCTATTGTCAACCACTATTCTATGCTTTGCTTCTGAGTTTGACTATTTTAGATAGTCATATAAGTGGAATTATGAAATATTAGTCTTTCAGTGACTGGCTTACTTCACTTAGCACAATGTCCTGAAGGTTCAAGCATGTTGTAGTATGTGAAAGAATTTATTTCCTTTTTAAAGCTGAATAATATTCCATGGTATATACATTCTACAATATATTTTGTTTATCCATTCATCTGTCAATGACCATTTAAGTAGTTTCTATAACTTGGCTGTTGTGAGTAGTACTACAATGAACATGGGAGTACAGATATCCCTTCAAGATCCTAATTCAATTCTTTTGGATATACAGTATTCCCACAAGTGAATTTGTTGGGTCATATGGTAGTTCTATTTTAAAATTTTCAAGAAGGCTCCATAGTGTTTTTCATAGTGCCTGCAGCATGTTTTTATGGGACTCTTGTGAAATAGAATTTATCAGAAATGCTATATTTGCAGAACACAACCCTTCAGCAATACTACAAATTATGATTTTTGTCTATGTATGAATTTCTATGTTTTATCCACTTTAACATATTGAACCATGTTTTAGTGTATTTGACTCATCTTGTTCTGATGAAGCTTGTTAGTTTCAAATGAATTGGCACATAAAAGTATCACAGACACAGTGAACTAGCCTGAAAAACACACACACAAGTTTTCCAGTTACAAAAAGCTCAAACATATTATATTAATCAATAACTCAGTGTATGAGATATTGAGTTAATTATGTAATCACATAACAATACAAGAGTAGCAATTTTTAAATACATTTGAATTGTCTGTTTAAATGAATTATTTCCAGATTAATTTTATATTTGTTTTTGGGAATTTTTGATGAACAAGAATTTAAATATGATAGGAAAGAAGCTAAATATATTAACTGAAACAAAGATGGTTAGCCTGTCAAAATTTGTTTTAATATTATCACAATAACAATTAAAAACTCTACCAGCCAAAACCGGTTTGGCTCAGTGGATAGAGCACCGGCCTGCAGACTGAAAGGTCCCGGATTCGATTCCAGTCAAGGGCATGTACCTTGGTTGCGGGTACATCCCCAGTTGGGGGTGTGCAAGAGACAGCTGATCAATTATTCTCTCTCATCGATGTTTCTAACTCTCTATCCCTCTCTGTTCTTCTCTGTAAGAAATCAATAAAATATATTTTTTAAAAAACCTCTATCAATGATAAAAATGAAATAAAAGCATCAATAATAAAGTACAAATTTTTATCAACTATGCTAGAAAGGATTCTTTCTATTCTTTTCATCTTATTTTTTAAAAATGTGTCTTATCAATTTGAGAGAGAGAGAGAGAGAAACAGAGAGATAGAAACATTGATGAGAGAAACATCATAATAGATCAGCTGCCTCCTGTACGCCCCCTGCTGGGGATGGAGCTTACAGCCTGGGCATAAGCCCTGACCAGAATTGAACCATTGACTTCTTGGTTCTTAGGTTGATGCTCAACCAATGAGCCACACCAGCCTTTCTATTCTTTTATAGAAAATAATATAAAATAATTATATGGGCAGGTGAATAAATAGTACACAACCAACAATATAGGGAAAAGGCCTTACAGGGGTGTGTCAGAAAGCTAATATTGAGTTATTTTTCTAGTTTTTCAGATGTTTATAGTATTGTATTTGTCAGCTTTTATAAAATTTTAGTATAAGTGTCTAAAAAATACAAAAGATCAATGAAACCAAGAGTTAGTTCATTGAAAAGATAAGATTGATAAAACTTTAACCAGACTAATCAAGAAAAAAAAGAAGACCCAATTAAATAAAATAAAAAATGAAAGATTAGAAGTAACAAATAACACCACAGAAACCCAAAGAATTGTAAGAAAACATTAGAAACAAGTATATATAAACAAATTTGACATTCTGGAAGAAATGTGTAAATTCCTAGAACCATATAATCTCCCAAAACTGAATCAAGAAGAAACAAAAAATCTGAACAGACCAATTATACCATAAAGTTGAAGCAATAATAATAAAAAACTTCAATGAGAAGACCAATAAATCAAATACACTTAAAAAAAAAAAAGATAGAAAAGTCCTGGAACAAATGGCTTCACATGTAGTTTTTACCAAACATTTAAAGAAGAACTAACACCTATTCTTCTCAAACTATTCCAAAAAACTCAAGAGGAGGAAAAGCTCTTTTATTCATTTTACAAGGCCAACATTATCTTAATTCCAAAACCAGAAAAGACACTGCAAAGAAAGAAAATTATAGGATAATATCTCTGATGAACATAAATGAAAAATTCTCAACAAAATAGTATTTTGTTTGAATAGCAAACCAAATTCAGCAATACATTTAAAAGATCATACATCATGATCAAGTGAGATTTATTCTGGGGATGCAAGGTTGATACAATATCTGCAAATCAATAAATGTGATACACTACATAAACAAAATGAAGGATAAAAATCATATAATCATATCAATAGATGCAGAAAAAAGCTTTCGACAAAACTCAGCATCCATTTATGTTATAAACTCCCAGCACAGTGGGAATAGAGGGAACATATATCAACATAATAAAAGCCATATCTGACAAAACCACAGCTAATGCCATACTCAATGGGGAAAAGCTAAAAAACATTTGCCTTACGATCAGGGAAAAGACAAAGATGTCCACTTTCACCACTCTTATTTAACACTAGAGGCCTGGTGCATGAACTTTGTGCACAGGGGTGGGTTGTCCCTCAGCCCAGCCTGCACCCTCTCCAATCTGGGACATCCCTCTCACAATCCAGGACTGCTGGCTCCCAACTGCTCGCCTGCCTGCCTTCCTGATTGTCCCTAACAACTTATGCCTGCCAGACTGATCACCCCCTTACTACTCCCCTGCCAGCCTGATTGATGCCTAACTGCTCCTCTGCCAGCCTGTTTGCCCCTAACTGCCCTCCCCTGCAGGCCTGGTCCCCCTAACTGCTCTTCCCTGCAGGCCTGGGTCCCTCCCAACTGCCCTTGGGACTAGTTTTTAAGATAGCCTTGGCCTGGACCTCTCCTCAGCCGGCTCCTCTTCTACCTGGAGTGTGGCTGCTGCACTGTGCGGCTGGGGACCTAGAGTGATTATTACAATGGAAGAAATCAATAATTTTAAGACACCAAGCAAATTATCTGAAAAAAGAAAATATGTGTTATGTTCAACTCCATGTATAAAAATTCCTGCCTCTCTGTTTATGCAGAAACTTGGCTATGGCACAGGGGTAAATGTCTATCTTGTGAAAGATCTCCAAGAGGCTTGTCTCATTCTCCTTGGGCTGTGAAAAAGATTAATTTTAGATGTAATGGTGATTATCAAAGTATGTATCAAAAGAGATTAACTAATGAAGCTAAGATTTTGAAAAGCCTTCATCATCCAAATATTATAGGTTATCGTGCTTTCACTGAAGCCAATGATGGTAGTCTGTGTCTTGCTATGGAATATGGGGGTGAAAAGTCTCTAAATGACTTAATCGAAGAACGAAATAAAGAAAGCCACAATCCTTTTCCAGCAGCCACAATTTTAAAAGTTACTTTGAACATGGCAAGAGGGTTAAAGTATCTGCACCAAGATAAGAAGTTGCTTCATGGAGACATAAAGTCCTCAAATGCTGTAATTAAAGGTGATTTTGAAACAATTAAAATCTGTGATGTAGGAGTCTCTCTACCACTGGATAAAAACATGACAGTAACTGACCTTTGCGGGGGCCTGATGGCTGGGATCTCCCTTTTCTTGTCCGGCACGGAAAGAGAGATGAACGAACCGGTTCTAAGTGGAGGTGCCCAGGGATTGAGAAATATTAGAAATAAAGAGAGAAGACACAGAGATAGATTTTAAGCTGGGAGCTGGGAGGGCCGCAGACCTCCTCTGCTGGAGAGACTGACTGATGACCTCCTAAGCCACACAGCACATCTATTTATTCTCCAATCCAACAAGGAGTTTCACAGAAAAACAAGGACCTGGGAGGTCCCAGGTTCCACCCACTCCTTCCTCCTGGACAAACACAAGCCAGGAACTAAGAACATCTCTGCACTCCCAGGGCGGGAGTGCAACTGACATGATTCTGTCAATATCCCGGGCCCAGTCAGCAACAATCTATAGAATGTCCATATGTCTTCCCAATTGGCCCTCTACATCTCACCATTTTTTTTTTTAATTTAAACATTAAGAATAAAACTCCAAATTAAAACAATTGCAAACAATGCCAATGCAAAACTAAACTACGTACACGTTATCATTTTCAAAACTTGAATGCCAAGAGCAAAACTCTGGCTATTAAATAATAACAAAACAATACCAATGCAAAACAACAATATGAGAAATCAGAACTATGGACATATTAAAATTTTTAGCTACCAAATGAAAGAAAGTCTCTTTTGCTGCTGGTGTTTATTTACTCAGAGTCCTTGGACTTGGCTGCGCAAGACTTCAAAAGACTGGAAGCTAACAGATGCTAGCACAAGCAGGTACAAGTTGAAGAAGCAGCTTCCACTTCAGTCTTTAACTCTTGAGATGACTCCATGTTAGCACCACAGACCCTTGCGTAGCTTTCAGTTTTCTTCTCCTCCTGCTTTGCTCTCAATGGGCAACCCTCAGTCCTTTTGGGTGAAGGGACACAGGAGCTTCTCTGAGTCCATTGTGGTGATGGACGTAATGCTCCAGCACCCGAATTGGCTGCATTGCTCCTCCTTCCTTGCCCTTGGTCCTGGGCAACCTACAGCAATGCACAGGTGCTTACTGCAAACATGGCAAGGCATCTTCACTATCTTTATTTCTGGACTATTTCTCCTCTGTTCTTTTGAGCTCCTACTTATTCTGTGGCTAGAACAGCCCTATCAGGTCCTCTCTAGGATCCGGTGTCACAGGAATCCATACAATCTTGGAGTTTTTCTGGAAATATAAACATATTCTCAACCTTTTAATAAATAAATCTTTTCTATAAATTAGAATTGGGATCCTTTTGATTTTTGCCCAAACGATTTTTCCTTTGGCTTATTCTGACACCATAAGATTTTTCATAGGTGCCATGTTACCAGCGTTATATAATAAATAAAAATTAGTTTTTTTAAGGAAATTTTTTCTGGATATGTTTCCTTACATGATATTTTTCCACTAGTCAACCCCCCCCCCCTTTTTGATTTATTTAATTATTAGGAGGCTTTTTGGAAAATTTTTATAATGCAGTCTTCAAATTTTTTAATTTTTCGCACAAAAATATCACTGCTTTAGGGTTAATTGCATGTTAAACAATTTTACCATGAATGAACCACCAATAGAAATTTTAGTTAATACTTTAAATAAATATTTTATTGATTTTGTACAGAGATGAAGGGAGAAAGAGAGAGAGTTAGAAATATCGATAAGAGAGAGTCATCCATCAGCTGCCTCTTGCACACCTCCTACTGGGGATATGCCCGCAACCAAGGTACATGCCCTTGACCTTGACCGGAATCAAACCCGGGACCTTCTGTCCCCAAGCCGATGCTCTATCCATTGAGCCAAACCGGTTTCGGCTAGTTAATACTTTAGAAATAGCTTTTTGTACAATGTAATTTTCTTCAATATTACCTTATTTCAATTAGCCAATTTAAATTAATCTGAACACTTGACTACTATTTTACTGTAAAAATTTGATACTCTAACAGTAATTTTAGTTTATTCAGTGAATATTAGTGCAAAGGATTATTTGCATCCTTGAGAAGGTTTTAAGCATTCCTGGTATTCGACTGGATTTAAATATAACATCAGCCACGTCTCTGTGGCCTTGGTCCCGATCTAAACTGTCTCCGTTTGTTGCCTGGGTCCCTATCTGAGCTGGGCATGGGAAGCACGAAGCAGCCATGGGGCAGGGGATCTCCCTCAGAAGGGGCAATGTTGGGGGGGTGAGGATCTGTGCCCCACCTCTGTTGACCCCCAAGTTCTCTCCTGATGGCCCCTCTGCGACTGTGCCTGTGTTAGGTTGTCCCTCCCTTGAGGAATCTTTCCCACCACTGGCTAACCAGCCATCCTCTGGGGCCAAGCAGGGTGATGTGAGGTTCAGTTCTGTCTCCTCGGTAGCCTTTGCCCCTATGGCTCCATGGCCAGTACCTGCCTTGGGATCCCCTCGCCTGCTGGCGGGACCCGGGCATTGATCACATATCTTGGGGAACCCAGGTTTCTTCTCCAGCTTACGCCATTGGCAAGAGAGAGATCCATGGTACCATCCACCATGAGGCTTCAACCTCATCATAAACAGCTCAGGAAACAGCTGTGGGCAATTGGATTGTGACAAGAGGGTCCTTCTTGGCAAAAAAGGACAAGAAGGACCAATATAGAATGCCTTCCAAGGGGGCCTTTCATGTGCTTTTTAAATTGCTGCCAAACATTCAAATAATTAATTTTTAAGTTTGGTATATAGTGGTATAAAATATCAAAAATTATAATGACATTGTAGAATAATAGCATGTAAAGATAGTCTTTGCTTTAATCCATGATAATTCAATTTCAAACTGGAAGAAATATTTAGTTACTTTTTTTTGCCCTTCTAAAGAGGCCAAAGCCTTCATAAAATTTGAAATATATGTACATAAGTATCATATGTTAATTTTTATTTGATAAAGCAATCACTAGCTGCTTCTGGTCTTTATTAAAATTGTTTATAAAATTATTGGCTTTTCATTTAGCTAAAAACCTTGATTATAATTTAATAAATCTAATTTACATAAGTAATTAAAGTAGGTATCTTCATTTTAAAAATAAAGCAAATTTACTTCTGAACTCACAAGCCACAAATGTTGCCCTGCCTCTAGCTTAATTAAAAATGCAGGTGGCTACATAAAGTTAGGATTCAATTACTTATAAAATATTGGCTTCTCATGTAACTTAATTTATATGACATTGATTATATTGTAAAAGCTAATTTGTAAAGTAACTTAAGTAGGTATCTTTAATTTAAAAAAAAGCAAAGAAACTTATTTGGTAAAACTTATAGGTTTGATACTTTATTGGTCTGATCCAAAAGCATTAACTGTCCCACCTACAGCCAATTCAAAAATACAGGCTGCATGAGGTCTTTTTGTCTTTCCTGAAATTCTACTGCTGTTGAAAATTTTGGCTATATTTAAGACATATATTGTTTTTGCGTTTCTTACGGTTGAAAATGTTCATAACATTTAAGATATAGTATATAATTTTTATTTGATAAAGCTTTCCATGTTATTTCAAGTATCAATCTGTGTAATTAAAAAAAATATTTTAAGAGAGAACAAACTTTTGAACATTTCGGGGCCCTTAGTTGGTCCGAAGGTTGTGGGTTATTGTTAAGCTGAACATTTCGGGGCCCGTGAAATATGCAAAAGTTATTCTTAAAAAACCTTGAAATACTCTTGGAAAGATCAAATATATAATATACAATATATTTATATATATATGATTTAAAGATTATATACCTAATTTATCTTAGAGAATATCAATTACATTTAATTTGGATCAATGAATTAATCCTCTTTCTTTTAAATCAGACCAAACAAGTAACATATTTTGAATTCCTAATTATATCAGAGAAAATACATTTTAACTATATAATTTCTCCCCATTTAATTTGCATTTTGAACTTTTAAAGCCGGCAAGTCAAATATATTTTGCATGTCCTAGATTAACACTTTACATTCCTAAGAAAAACACAAGACATAATTAAGAGTTTTAATTCTGTTCTCTAGATTTTTTGATTAGGCAAATTTAAACTTTACTTTTTTATTTATATAATTAAGAGCCAACTTCCAAAACAGTTTTTTGCCACAGGAGTTTGGAGGAAGTTTGTAGCCATTTGATGCAAATTACCACCTCCCTTAGCTTACTGGGAGAGTGGTTAGAACAATTAAGGTTGCTGACCAGCCTTCCTGGCTTCCTGTCAACATCTCTCAGTGAAACTGATTTGTTTCAGGCATCATGGCAAAAAAAAAAAAAAAAAAAAAAAAGACACTTTAAACTTTCAGAACTTTAAAATTTTCAGGTAGCAAATCAAATACTTAGCATTTCTCAAATCAATAATATTTTTACATTTTTAAAGATTCATTTCAAATGAAATATAAAGCATATTTAATTAATGGACTAACTTCAATTCTCTAGACTTCATGCAAAGCATACTTAGATCAACATTTCAGTATTATAACAATTCAACACATTTTGATTTAAGTTTTTATCATTTGATTTAGTAACTTCCAAATTCTTTTAAATTTCCAGCCAATTGGCCTGGCACAGCCTTTGATTTTCAAAATGGTCACAATTTTCCTGCGGGGGAGGGGGAAGTCAAGAGGCAAACTCAGTCATTCATAGTAAACTTGCTATCTCCTTTCTGGTGTTTACTTGCCTTTGGGCAGGAATCTCAAGTGCTGCTTTAAATGCCTTCGGAAACTATCCTGTATTCATCTCCACCACTTATAAGGCTAAAAACAGTCTCCGGTTTTTATTCTGTACCCAGCAAAGAGTTGAGCCCAGCTCAAAAACTATGAGCACTCGTTTTAAACTGGCTTTTCCCCTTTACATGTGCATAGACATCCCCAATGCATTTATGAATTCTTAAAACTTTAAGTCATTAGCTGGAAAAAAAAGATGATGAATATGAGGCCTCTTAAAGTGCCTTTTTTGGGGAATGGCATTATTTTTTTATTTTATTACTTCTTCAATTTTTATTTATTTTTATTTTTAAGGAAATAAAAAGATTTTAAGATAATGAATTATTGGCACTTGCTAAGAAATTCCTTTAATCTTTTTTTACTTGATTACAAGTAGTTTACACATGGAGGCACAGGAGGCGCAGATAGTATCCTTAAAGATTTGCACCCTTCCACTCCAGGCTGTAAGGTCATGGCTGCATCCCACTTAAACATTCTTAAACTCTCCTGTGCTGAATCAAAAAATAAAGTAGGTATAGGCGTTTTCTCTGGACTTTCTGCTGAGTGTTGGTCATGCAACTGCTTTCTAACCTTTTCACAGGTTTCATCAACAAACTTTAAGAAAGAAAGCAAGAATCTGACTATGCTTAAAAGAATCTCTTTGAGCCATGAGCGTAGTTTAAAGCATTTAGAAGGGTCACCCATGTTTTACTCCCAGCTAATTCAATTTCACAACAATTCACTCCCTCTACCTTACAGTTCCTTCAATCTGTGGCGCGCGCAATTCTTGGGAGCGATCCCTTGCCTTACCTCTTGTTGCCTCTTTCAGCCCACGCCCCACGTTGGGCGCCAGAATGGGGGGGGCCTGATGGCTGGGATCTCCCTTTTCTTGTCCGGCATGGAAAGAGAGATGAACGAACCGGTTCTAAGTGGAGGTGCCCAGGGATTGAGAAATATTAGAAATAAAGAGAGAAGACACAGAGATAGATTAATAACCTTTATTAATATTCTCTACTTAAATGGATCTATTTAAATTAGCACTTTGAAGTACAAAAGAAGTCTATATTTGATTTAAAAAAATAAATCTTTATTGTACAGATTATTACAATTGGTCCTCCTCTTCCCCCACCAGAGCTCCCCTCCACCAGGTTCCCA